CTCCACAAAGGCATCCTTCCCTTTAGGCAGATAGCCCTCGTATGCTTTGCCATAATTGAATAATCCAATCCAATATTAACATGTTTATCTTCCTTTTATTTTCTCAACTTTTTACTAGACACAAGTATGGGAAATGTTTCTAATCTTTTCGCATGGACTGACATTTATAAAAAAAGAATTTTTCTATTAATAAAGAAATTAAAAACTGACAATTTAGAAGATTCACCTCAATGGATCATACACAGGGCTGACACAATGCATTTTGACACCTGATGCAATCTCCGTGGATCCTAAATTCTGCTCCTACTGCCTGTCCTAAATTCTAAAAGTAGTTGCTATTTCTAGATTTTTGTTGCTCAGTGTGTCACTAAATTCTAAAAATTCTGCCTCATCAGCCTGGAACCAGTCCTTACTATACATCATTTCATATTTATCTGCTTTTTCTTTACATTCTAAATGCATTTGGTTTTTTAGAATAACAGAAATCTTTAATTAATTCCCAAAATTCTAACGTGAAGAGGAAACGAATTTAAGAAAGAAACTGAATGCATAAAGAGGAAGAAAATTATTCTTCTCTCATATGTACAGTTATTATTATGCAAATTAACCAATTACAATTTTAGCCTTTACTAGAAGTTCCCCTTTCCATTTCCTCACCATAATGCAAATCAGATAGTTTTTAAACCAAGGTTTTGGGACTGAAAGAGTGTTTTTGTCTTTAACTACTAGTCCACATTTTTAGTTTGAATTTAACTGTTTTAGTTTAATTGCATCACCACAAGCTGTAGTTGATTTTGTCAACATAAGAACATGCCTGTATGTTCTAAGTTTTTTCTTTTAAATAAAAGTTTATTTAAACCTTTATGTGGCTTTGTAGTTACTTTCAGACATAGTGATAATTTGCTTCATGTCTATAAGAGGTTTTGGACTATTTAACTTTTACCAGATCAAGTTAAACCTCGTTATGTACACTGTTAAGAGACTGGCAAATTAGGTGATAAAGCACACAGAAACTAGTGGGAATATTGGTTTGTGTATTGAAACAGATTTTTAATTGTAAAATATTTAATGCTGCCTGATAAATTTTATAAAGTGGATTTTATTCTCAAATTTGCTTTATAGTTATGTTTATTAAATTATATTTAATAAGAATGCATCCTACTTATGGATTTATTTTATTCTTAGAGGGCTATTACAAAAACGGAGTTCAGACATAAGTTAATTGAATTTTAATTGAATTTATGCAGCTCCCATTTGCTGATAAGTCCTTAGTTTTTTTCATTAATGGTCCTTAAAAGTACTTAATTTCCATGTGCAGAAATGTGTATGAACCCTGTATTAATATCTTTTTTTTATTAAACTTGCTTGATTCCTTCTTCTGGAATTCGAAATTTAGGCTTAAATATAATTCAAACATTTTTATGATTAATTTTTTTAATTTATGATTTTAAATATTTTTTATAAATCGCTTAAAAATTTTTTTGTATTGTAATCTATAAAATTTTTAACATCTTAAAGTAGATGTATTTCTAGGCACACTTGCAAAAAATTAGAGTTTTTTTATTCAAAAATTTCTAAAATATACATGAATTTACATATTTATGCATTTTGAATTTTGACATATATGTTATAAGCAATAATAATGCCAAATGTGGTTTACGCACTTTGTTAAAATTATTTAAAAGTATGAACAATGACTTTTTTTTCTGCTTGTGTACAATGATAAAATAAGAAAGGGAAATACGTTGCTATAAATTAAGAAGTTTGCCAAGTGTATTATTCTTGGCGCAAATTGAAAAAAAAATGCGCAAGATAAATTTTTGAATTTCTCTGTAAATTTCCCAAATTTTACAAAATCTAATATTTAGGCATAATTTGAGTCGTAGAATCGAAATATGGAAAAAAAGTGGCATGTCATTTTAGAAAAAGTCCGATTTTGTGTCAAAATACCTATATAAGAACAGTACTATATGTAAATCTAATATATATTCTAAGTCGCGCTTTCGAGACGTGAAAAATGTAATTTGAATTTCGTCAATCAACCCAGTAGATTGGGAGATATAGAACTGTCCAATTTTTATTTTGCACAGCTTAAATGCGGAGGAAATGAGAATCGTTATGAACTTAAATTTCTTTATCTGATAATATGAAAAGTTCATCATACTCGTCTTCCATTATAACTTCAGGTACATCATCAAATTCTATTTCATCTTTGTCACTGTTATTCTGATCCATAATCTTCCATTCCATCTAGATTGCTAGGTAAGCTACATTTTAATGACTTTTGAGTTATACAATGTATGTCCAGAAAGTAAGTTCCGTTTGGTAATAAAAGTAAATTGTGTACAGCTACAGAAAAGTTATTTATTGCACAAAATTAACAACTCTTAAACTACTTTTCCACATAACTGCCGAAATATTGCAGGCATTCCACATAACTGCCGAAATATTGCAGGCACAAGTTTTTGTATACCTTCTTCATAGAAATTTGCCGCCTGTGTCTTCAACCAGTTGGAAACAGTTTCAGCTCGTCGTCATTGTTCAAGTGTTGACCGCCAAGGAAAGACTTAAGATGTAAGAACAGATGAAAGTCGCTAGGAGCGAGGTTAGGGCTGTACGGAGGATGGTCAAACACATCCCAGCCAAATCCCTGTAGGAGGTTTTTCGTCACATTTGCAGTGTGTGGTCGTGCGTTGTCATGAAGAAAAACAACACCTTTTGACAGCAATCCTCGGTGCTTATTCTGTATTGCGCGGCGCAATTTCCGAAGTGTCTCGCAATAAGCATCTGCTCTGATTGTTTGACCACGCGGTAAGAAATCAATGAGTAAGATGCCTTTCCAGTCCAACAAAACACTGTGCACATCATGTTTTGAGGTGTCAAGATTTGCTTCGGCTTAACCTATGCTGGGGATGAAGTGTGCCTCCATTCCATTGATTGCTGCTTACTTTCAGGGGTGTCGTAAGAAACCCAAGTTTCATCTCCTGTGACACTATCTGTGTCAGAAATTCTTCGCCGCTTTCAGCATAATGGGTCAAAAACTGAAGTACACTACCCATCCGTTTTGTTTTGTGTTGCTCAGTAAGAATCTTTGGTACCCAACGTGAGCAAAGTTTACGAAATTTCAGTTTTTCGGTAACAATTTCATGCATTAGTGATTGTGAAATGTGGGGAAATTCCATAGCAAGAGCACTAATTGTAAACCTTCGGTTTTCATGGATCTTGTCATCAATCGCGTGAACCAGTTCTTCTGTAACCAAAGATGGACGCCCACTTCGTTCTTCATTGTGCACATCAGTACGTCCGTCATTGAACTTTTGGACCCATCTTCTCACCATTGAATCACTCATCGCTTTTGGTCCGTAAACATCGCAAATTTGCCGATAAATTTCACTAGGTTTCACTTTCCTGCATTCAGAAAACGAATCACAGATCTGATTTCACAAGCAGCGGGATTTTCAATCAACACCGACATTGTAAATAAGCACAACAAAGCGTACGTGACTGACAGCGATCCAAATGGCGCGCGTTTCTTCTCCCTGATACAGAGCGTCTACTGCGAATGTGCGGAACTGCGATCGCAGAGCTGCAGCGGAGATAAATTGAAATGGAACTTACTTTCTGGACGTGCCTTGTAGCGTGTTTAATTTCACTCTGTGTTTTTATTATTCACTCACTACTTGTAGATTGGTATGACACATTTGGCTGGCTTTTTCTTTCTTCTTTCCTTGCCTTCAATGTTCACTTCAAAATTATGGCATTGAATGACTACAGAAAGAGACTAACTGTTAATTCTGGGAACTCATTAGGATCAGAAGTGCATTGTTACCTCAAATAATCTCTTCCTTTTTTGAAACACTGGAATAACATTCTTGTGCATCCCTGCATTGAATGCAGTACACCCTCTCTGCAGAATTATTTATTCCTCAAGCATGTCCCCCACATATATATTTTCTCCCATATTGTTTTGTCAGGTCAATATACCATTGTTCGAAAGCCTGGGAAATGTTTTCAAATGAATGGCTTCAAAAGATAAAAGCATTGCACAGGTATTTTTCAGGTTTCTTCATAAAGAAAAGGTATGTGTTATATAGCTAATGTACCTAAAAACTAAAAAATGTAGTTTGAGATTATAGGTGCTCATTATAAGCCAGAATATACGGTAATTTAATTAAGATTTATTGAATATAAAACAGTTTCAAAGAATAATAATATATTTACAAGGGAAAAACATTGTGGATAAAGAAAATTTTTTAAGAAAGCAAAGAACTTAAAAAAAAAAAAAAAAAAAAAAAATTTGCTTCTCAAAATGCAAGAAAAGTATAGCAATAGCAGGTAATTTGTAGCTTTGTTCATAGAAAACCAAGGTCAGCTTATTGAGAATCAATCAGAATTACATTAAAGGAAAGTACAGGTGTTTTTAGTGTGATGTTACATCACATTTATTTTTAATTGGTGCTAAATCATGCTGCTTGGCAAGTGTATCATGGTCGATAGGGTAATATGTAAGTATAATTTTTTCTTAAATCACTATTGTGCTGCCATCATTTTTTCACTTGCTATGAAAGATAACAGTTTTCTTTAGTGAATTTTCAAGTGAAATAAATGAACATCATTTTGTTGATAAGTATTTATAATCTTAAAGATAATAATTTTATAAATGTAAATAAAATTTAATTGCAGACCTTATTGAATTCAATATTTTAGATTTCTTTTCAAATTAAAATCAATAAAGTGCAGTAAGCAGAGGATGCTTACTAGGAGAGCATTTGTTTCATTAGTTGGATCTAGATGGCCATTAGTTAATTTATTTAGTGTTTAATTTTTTTAATTTATTTTGTATTTTTTCTGTTATTTGTTCATTAAATATAGAAAAATTAATAATGATGTTAAGTGTGAACTTATTTTTGTTCCTATGATATTTGAAAATACATAACATTTCATTGTGAAAACTGCAATTATTCACAATTAGGTTATTCATTTTATTTAATTATTTACAGGATATCTTTCATTAAGAAAGTTGTGGTGGTTGCTGCTCCAGAATATTTAGATTTCATGCTGCAAACGTTAAGCCAGATGTGTGCTTTAAAGGATGAAAAACTAATGGTTACTGAAGGCTCTGGTTCTAGGCACCAGTCGATTTATTCTGGATTAAGAGCTGTTCAAACTTGCTGTTAGTGGTATAGTTCTTTATAAAGATTTCCCCTGTTCTTTTTACTTGTATAGTCAAACCTGATAATAAAGTCATTTGGATATGGGGTCATTCCGCTTGTAATATCACATTTTTGGAAGTCCTTTTTGAATGCAATTTTAGTGTTTAAGTTTATTTGTATTCAGTATCAGATATGTAATATCAATATTGTTTATGGAATCACTAATACACCTAAGATACTTCCATTAATATTTACCAGAAAAGTTTCCTGTGAGTGAAATGTTGTTATTATTAATTGTTATTCTTTCTAAAGTTGTTAATTTTTTTGTATGTCACCTGGCTTTTTTGCTTGCATGACATGAACAATGAAGGGAGAGGTAATTTATTACCAATAAAAATATTCTAAGAAGGATTTTGAAATTCTTAGAATCTCGCTTAATTTGTATGAAGTTATGGGGTAAATGAAAATGAATATACAGTTTATGTTCCAGTTTTCATTAAACCCTTATAAATTGACTTCAGCAGAGAGAACATATTTCAGATTAAAAAGATCATTATTTCCTCCCCCCCCAAGGGACAACAGTTTTTTTTCAAAGTTGGGATTCTGCAGAATTCCTCTAAGGAAATTCACTTCCTGAATTTTTCATTTATACTTCTAGTTATGATAAGAGGGAGGGAATAGTTCAACATTAGTGAATGTAAGAAAATGCTTTTGGTTTGAATGTCAGAAGCTTGAGTGTTCCAGTATCAACATATTTGGGATAAAGCACTGCAAATAGTTAATAACCAGGTAAACAAGCTTTCGCTTTAAATATTGGCTGGATTCAAAGATTTCAGTTAAAGCATATATTATTGTTCCTCTGTCTCGAAAAAAGTAAAGGTGGTTATTATTAGCATAACTGTTCCATCATACTGAAGAAAGTCCATTTTGCAGAGCTGTCAACTCTGCTTGTTTTAATGAGAGATTTCCAATTTTTCATCTCATCTCCTGATCTCTTGTTAAATCTTGAAATCTCCCAATTTTTAGTTTATCTGAATTTATATTATTTCTATTGCTCTTATTGTATGTATTCAGCAGGGATGAATGTAGCCTGTTTTATCATAAACAGATAAACTGTTAACTGTTTATTTGAATAATGAGATATGTAAGAGTGGAAAGAAGTTTAAACTGAAGTTAATAGCTGCATAAGTAAAAAATATGGATGGATCTGATAACATTGCTTCATTGATGATTAGGAAATTTAGGAAGCCTTGTTACTTTTATAACACCGAATTGCTTCTTATCTGATATAAAGCCAACAAAGGTTTGAATAACGAAAAAATTTGGATAAGTACAATCAAGTGTTTTGGTGAGCCTTTTAAATCTCAATGGAAGAAGAGTGTTATTAAGTCTTTCAAGTACATTATATCACTCTGTTTATAGGGTATTATGCGCTGCAGTGTTTTATCATCCATTGCCACCTTCTCAGCTGCATTTCAAATGTTTATGAATGTATTCCTCATTTGTACTGTCAGCCAGGTAATTTCTGAATGAAACAGACAAGTGTTTCATATGACTGCTAGCACAGTAGTGCTACCTTCCATCGCCAACAGCCGTACTGCTGCCCTGATTCATGCATTTACATCAGATATGTTAAGCTAACGTTTTTTCTTAATTTACCCATTTTTTAAATTGAAAAATCAGTGAACAAGTATGTTGAGAGGAAGAAAAATTAGGGGGAGTTTAATGATAAAAATAAAGCGTAAATTTCCTTTTGATTGGTTGCTTTTGACCTTTAAAAAAAAAAAAAAAATTCTAAGCAAATGAAGGACTTTCAGGGAAAATTAGGAATAAGTGTGGAAAGATGAATCATTGACTGAAATAAGATATGGAAACAGCACATTTCTTGAATAAAATTGCCCATGGGTAAGTCAGGAGAAAAGAAAAAGAAAGTACTATCAAGACTGAATTTTTCTTCAAAAGTTGTATTCACTGGGACTGTTAGAAAAAGTATGAAATAAAAATTTTTATGTAGTCTATGATGTTCTTTTCAAACTAAAATATATGAAAAATTAAATTATGTTACTTCTACTACTTCCTGATTAATTGCATCCTTATTGAAGAGTCTCAAACTCATTGGTGACTTTGGAGAGAAATGTTTGTTTGCGTGTCTGTATATTCATTTCAATGATACATATAATGCTGCTTTTACTTTACTGCTGATTTTTTTTAAAGGAGGCGCACACTTTTTAGAGGTAATTACACCAATTGATAGTCTTTTCGAGATATCCTTTTGTAATTTTTTTTCATTTTTGTTCTCCTTATGTACACCACAGTCTGTTTCTCTTTAAAAAAATCAGAGAGTTGCACAAATTCAGCACTATGCAGAACCTTGCCCAATGGCAACCTTGCATAAGCCACAATCACAAAAGCCCAAGAACAGTTGAAACTTCCACATAATGAAATAAAAGAGGACAAACTCCGCAGTTCCATTATGATTCGTTAAAACAAAAGAAATATACTCAATACAAAAAAGATTTACTAATCAGGGAAATGCGCATTGCATTTCAAAAGTTCAGATCCACATGTCTCAAACAAATTTATACTATACACATACATAGCTTGCCACATGAGTATGTTTTGATGATAGGGTTCATTGCCTCATCAGTACTTTTTTGTGGCTTTTCAATGAGGGTGCAGATAATCATAAAAGTCTGTTAATTCTTACACCTTTGGCTAAGCTTACTGAAAATAATAATTAACTGAGAATGAGGCATAAATGAAGAGATGTATGATTGAAAGCATACTGTATTTATAAAACAGAACTTTAATCATAAGAAGTATGAATTATGCATTATTAATGTTTTATATCAAAATGATAAATTATACATAAACAATAACACTACATAAATTTTTTTTTACATTTATTTGACTCAAACTTTTTTTGTAAACTATTGTTTAGAATATTATTTTTCTGTTTTGTAGTATTTTTTAAAATTCTAATTCATCGAATATGATATGTATTATAGGCAGTAAAATATTCTCTTTTATTTGGCTTCAGAAAAGTCATATATTGAACAATTATCAAAATAAATATGTGTCTGTTATAAGAAATATAAAATGTGATGTACTATGTGTCATTAAGTGATAGTACTTTTTTGGGTTGTGTTGTATAAATGTGCTACATGCAAATGGACCATCATACTAGAGAAAATTACAAAGTATTATAAAGCATTTAACTTTTACCGATTGTCATACTTTATGTAGTTTTTTGTATTGAGTTTCTAAACCAAATACCGATCTTCTTATTAATTGTTGTATAGCATTCAGCTTCTTGAAAAGATTAATACAAATTAAAATCTTTTCTAAAAAAATATCAGTGCTATAATCAAACAGAATTCTGCTTGTTTATAACACCCAATAAATTATTATTGACTTGAATATTATACAAATCCATAAAGATTTAAAAAAAAATTATATTACATCTACCACTATTCAGATTTTGAAATGTATAAAGAAAATTGTTATAATAAGAAAATTGTTTAGGTCATAAAGAAAAGTATTTCCCCTCACAACCACTCAGGTGTGATCTTTGCAGCCTTTGATCAATCTGGCAATCAATTCATTGTCATTTACCATAATGCTGTGCTTCCTAGCCAGAAGGTGTTTGAAAGTGACATGCTGGGAATCTTTGTTAGTGGGAAGAAAAATCGAAATAAAATGCACTGATGTCATCATGATAAGCATATGGTAATTAAAACTGAAAAATCACATGCACATGGTATGGAACACCTAGCAGAGTATTATATTCTCCATTCCTAAACTTTGCAAATGAAGAGTATTTAGTTTTTTTGTTGCATTAATTTTATTTATATATTTATTTACTTAGTGGATTGGTGGTCCTGATATTAAATCATACCAGGTATTGGACTTCTGGATCTCCCACTTTATACGCTATAATGTAATCAGTAAAGGTGTTTGCAAATAAATTGTTTATTATAGTTTTTGGAACAGTGAAGTTTTATATGCTGCAGATTGTGATATCTTAACAAAAAACAATGACTGTGAAATTTTAAAAGAAACAGAAATGAAATATAATTGTAATATACAATTGAAGAAATATAACTTACAGGCTAAAGAATCTTTGTTAACAGAAGGAAATAATAAAATTCTTCAGTAAAACCTGTAAACTTTTTAATTAATGTTAGTATTAAGATTTAAATATCTTTTTGCACAATTTTTTAAGGTGTTATCTTTATTTACAGTAAATCATATTCTTAAATCTTATGCACTTTCCATTTAAACAATTCTTTCCAGGTGAAACACAACCTGAAATTGTGATTATTCATGATGGTGTTAGACCATTTTTCTCCGAAGATATTGTGTGTAATGTTGTTTTAGCTGCTAAAGAACACGGTGTAAGTAAAATCTCTCTCTCTGGTATTGAAATGTACCTTTGGGATTTATTAGAATTGATTTTATTATAAAATTATTTTTAGAATGCATATATGATGGGAATAATGATAAATATGTAATACAATATGTTTTATGGTTAAAAGTGTTCCCGAATTTTTAAAAAATATTCATCTATTATTAATTAGTAGCAATTAATTAATTAATTGATATCTATATTATACTTATTTGGTACCTTAGAGACTGTTTCTCAAATAGTATATGAAGTGTCTGGTGTACAAATATAGAAAAATAACACTTCTCTGACTCCTATGGAACCAATATTTTATTCCATACGATGTTATAGATTCTTATTCATAAGATTTATTTACATTTTACACGCACGTAGCATCACGTGACAAAAACTCGGAGCTTGTTTACTTCGTTCTTTGCGGAGACTAGAAGGTGTTGCCATTCCGCTTTAACTAAACTTCATTAGAAACTTAACGGAACTGAAGCGACACTACACACCCCCTTCCTAGTGACAGCGATTATGGAAGATAATCTTTAAAGTGACTGGGGAACTTCACATGTCTGCCGGTTCTAGTAGTCTTGGTTTCATGATGAGGTTCTGAATTTTCTTCAGTGTTCTTGAGTGCAGGTGTTTCCCCAAGTTCCGCTTTCTTGGAATGGGAGTTTTGAAAAGGAATATCAGAATCTTGCACTAGGAAACATGGCTTTAGTCTGTCTATTGAAACTCTTTTAACTTTTCCTTGGAATTTCAATATCGAAAGTACTTATCCTTTCCTGCTCTTACAGGATACGGTCCAAGATAGACAGGCTGTAGCGACGAACTATTAATGTTGTTGTATAGGAATACGTGAGAACAGTTGGAAAGATGTTTAGAAACAAAGACTGTTCTATTTCCATGGGTGGTGGTAGAACTTGGCTTCATAGCTCTTATTATTTTCTGAAGGTTTTGAGAAAATTCAGACTGTTTCATATGAGGTACTGTTGAAAAGAATTCACCAGGTAATGCTAAAGGAGTTCCGTATACAAGTTCTGCGGATGAGCAACCTAAGTCTTCCTTGATGGCAGATCTTATGCCTAATAGAACGAAAGGCAATGCTTCCAGCCATGATTTTGATTCGAGTAGATGACATTTGAGACTTGCTTTTAAAGTTCGGTGTTGTCTTTCGATCAGGCCATTTGCCTGTGGATGGTACGCAGTTGTTGTGTTTGTATGAAAACCAAGATATTTTCCTAAAGCTTGAAAAAGTTGGCTATCAAATTGCCGACCTTGGTCAGATGTTATGCGATTCGGAATTCCAAAGCTTGAAAACCAAGTATAAATCAAAGCTTTAGCAATAGATTCTGCTGATTGATCTTCTAACGGTACCGCTTCGATCCATCGTGTATAACGATCGATGATGGTTAGAAGGTATTTGAATCCTTTGCAAGGAGGTAGCGGACCCACCAGATCTACGTTTAAATGCTGGAATCTGTGTGGAGGTACTTTGAATTCTCCCAAAGATGACTGTGTATGTCTGTGAACTTTAGATCTTTGGCAAGATAAACATGCTCTAGTCCATAGTTGGCAGTCTTTATTCATATTGGGCCATATGAAACGTCGTGTTATCAATTTTATCGTGGATCTTATTCCAGGATGAGATAAATTTTGGATTGAAGAAAATATTTTCTGCCGAAACTTTGCAGGGATGTATGGTCGATTATAATTTGTAGAAGTATCACAGTTAATTTTCTTGTCGCTGTCCGGTATAGGGATCTGTAGGATTTTTAAGTTTGGGTTGTTTTTTAGAATCTCCAAGTCGTCATCTTCTTGACAGTCTACTATAGTTTGTAAGTCTATTGCAGATGGTACAGAAATGGTGTCTATGCGAGAGAGAGAGATAATTCCGTCAGCAGAATTAGAGTGTCAGCGACGGTATTTTCATGCCCTTGTATGAAATCGGATATCGGTTGAGAACTGGCCAATATATGACAGTTGTCGAGCTTGTCGTGGGGAAGCTTTTTTCCAAATTTTGTTGGAAGGCAAATGTTAGTGGTTTGTGATCCGTGTATATTGCAAAAGTTCGCCCTTCTAAGATGTATTTGAAATGTTGTACTGCTGTATAGATGGCTAAGAGTTCTCTATCGTAGGCACTATATTTTTGTTGTGCTGATGTCAAATTTCGGGAAAAGAAACTTAAAGGTTGTTTTTCATTATTCACAATCTGATGTAAAACGGCTCCAATGGCAGTATCGGAAGCATCAGTTGTTAGCGATATTTCAGCCTTTTCGGATGGGTGAGTTAAGTTTGTGGCATGAATAAGTGCATCTTTTAAGATCTGGAAGGCGTTTCTTGTTTCTGCCGTCCAGGTTATTTCTTTTCTGCAGTTCTTTTTAATACCACTGAGCAATGTTGTTAAAGGTTGTTGCAGTTTTGCACAATTTGGTATGAATCTGTGATAAAAATTCACCATACCTAAAAATCGTCTTAAACTAGTAAATGACTTTGGTTCTGGGAAATTTTTGATGGCATCAACTTTTGTTGAGAGAGGTTTAAGTCCTTCAGCTGACACTTCGTATCCCAGGAATGCAAGTTTTGCTTGACCAAATTTACACTTTGCCTTGCCGCATTAATACACAGGCCATATTCGTTTAGTCTCTCAAGGACTGCTCGTAGATGTTTTTGGTGAGTTTCTTCATCTGGGGAGGCTATTAGAATGTCATCCAAATAGCAAAACACGAATTCTAGTCCATTCAACACACTGTTCATGAAACGTTGGAACGTTTGGGCCGCATTTCGTAGGCCGAAGGTCATGAATGGGAACTCGAATAAGCCAAAGGGAGTGAGAATGGCCGTTTTCGGTATATCTTCTTCGCGAACTGGAATTTGTTGGTACGCTCTAATGAGGTCTATGGATGAGAAAACTCTTTTTCCAGCTAAAATGGAACTGCAATCTGTTAAAAATGGGTAGAGGGTATCTATCAGGAATCGTGACGTTGTTTAACGCTCGATAGTCTCCACAAGGTCTCCAATCACCTGATTTCTTCATAGCGAGATGTAGTGGGCTCGACCAGTTACTTTTGGATGGCCTGCATAAACCCATTTGGAGCATAAATTCAAACTCCTTTTTAGCCGCTTTAAGTTTCTCAGCTGATAGTCTCCTGGCTTTAAGCGAAAACTGGTGGACCTCTGGTTTCGATATAATGTTCGATGTTATGATTTTTAACTTTATTATTAACTACATTGAGTTTTAACAAATCCGGAAAAATCGTTAATGATACGTTTATATGGATCATTTACGGCATTTAAAATCGGAATATTATTATTGTTATTTTGAAAACAAGGAGTTCCATTGGTTGTTAAGAATGTAGTACCATCAATCAACTTGCGATTTTTAGAATCTACCAAAAGGTTAAAATTTGCAAGAAAATCCATGCCTATTATCGGTTTGTTTATGTCCGCAATTACAAAAGGCCATGTGAATGATCGTCTGAGTCCAAGATCAAGCTTGTGTAATTTTTGGCCATATGTTTTAATTTTCGTACCATTTGCAGCAAAGAGTTCTAATTTTGAGATGTTTTTTTTATCTGCAGGCAAGGGAGGAATGACAGAAATTTCTGCCCCAGTATCTATTAAAAATTGGGTAGCCGATTCTTTGTCGCTGATGAAAAGACGACTCAGCTGCACCCCTTGTCCCTCCGTCGTCAATGAGAGACGGGGAGCTGGTTTTCCGGACTATTTGTCTGTGATGTTGATGAGTAGTTGCAGGGTTGTTTACACTTAAATGACTTATCACCGAATTTTTTATGATAGTAACAAATATCACTAGATCTGTTACCACTGTAATTCCTATCTCTTGATTTGGATCGGTTACGACAATAGGGACGACTATGACGTTGCTTGCTTAAAGCAGAAACTTGTAAGCTAAGTTCACTAACCTGTTTTTGTAAACTTTCAATCACTTCCGTTTTACCGTTATGGATGATGCAGCAGCTATTTGGGGAGTAACAGGGTTTAATTCCCAAATCTTATCGGCCATTGTAGCCACTTTTGACAAATCTTCACTACTAACAGATATAATGCTACGCATATTAACGGGTAAACGTTGTAGCCACAATGTTTTTAGGAAAGTATCTGTTACTTTATCGCCAGCCAAATTACGCATCTCACACATAGCAATTGAGATGGCTTTTTGTCACCCAGTTCTAACTCACTCAGTAATTTTTGGGTTTTTTGAGTCTCTGAATCTGCATATAATGAAATTAGTCTATTTTTAATTGCCTCATATTTATTATCTTGTGGTGGACTTACTTGTGGCGGCAAGAATATCAGATACCTGTGACAAAATATCAGGTTCAATGGAACTTATAACATAATCATATTTTGTTTGATCTGCACTAATTTTTGCATTTCTAAATTGTGCTTCTAGTTGAATAAACCATATTTTAGGATCTGGCTTCCAAAAAGGAGGAACTTTAACGCTTACCTTGGCGACAGATGCAGTTGTTGCTTTAATTTCGGTTTCGTCTTCGTCAGCCATTGTAGAATTCGATCACGCCGGGATACACCAGTGAAGTGTCTGGTGTACAAATATAGAAAAATAACACTTCTCTGACTCCTATGGAACCAATATTTTATTCCATACGATGTTATAGATTCTTATTCATAAGATTTATTTACATTTTACACGCACCTAGCATCGCGTGACAAAAACTCGGAGCTTGTTTACTTCGTTCTTTGCGGAGACTAGAAGGTGTTGCCATTCCGCTTTAACTAAACTTCATTAGAAACTTAACGGAACTGAAGCGACACTACAGTATATCATGAAATTTCTGAATTCTAATGCGTACATTATTTGCATATGAGAACTGTGTAAAAATAATTACCATGTGCTTTTCATGATGACATCAGCGCATTTTATTTTGAGATCTGTATAAAAATGTGAGCATCCCAAACAATATTTAATTTATTCTATCTGCTTTCTGATAAAGATAAATATTTCCAAGTGGTCAAGAT